GCATAACAGCTGCTCTGTGCCGGGAAGGTCGGGCAAGTGTGGCTGACAGCTGTGCGGTGACCTGGGGGCTCCTCGGGTGAGACCCAGGCTCAGAACCAGCCCGCATGGTTGCACTGAGCCTCCGTTGGCCATGACCCTGCGCCGGGCACTTCCACTTATTTCCTGATCTCGCCGAAGCCTCACAAAACCAAACGCGGCCGTGCCAATCAAGGTTCTGAGGCGTGAAAGCAGCTCGTGCCCCAGGAAACAAGGCACGGCTTCGGCTTCAGGGTCCCCATCCGGCCCACGGCCAGTGTCCTTCCTCCACCCGGAGCCCCCCGTGTCTCTCCCAGCGCAGCGGCTCTCAAGTCACAGTCAGGACTTTCAACAACGTGATGACAAAGCTTTAAGCACAACCCTGCAAGCGTGTGGGTGGCTCAGCCGGAGGAGCATGAGAGTCTTGATCTCGGGGTCATGGGTTCAAGCCCTAGGTTGGACATAAAGTTTACTTAAGGGAAAAAAAAAAAAGTACAACTGTGCTTCTGTTGCTCTGGCTGAGTTTATCACCTGCGCCCACAGAAGCTGAGACACCACACTGGATTCCAGATCCCACGGTTCCAAGATGGAATTCGACTCAAGTCTTACCAGCATTGGTTTTAACCACAAGCACGCCTCATTTCCCTGATTCTCCAACCAGAAGGTAGAATCAGTTCTAAGTGAGAAGAGAGACACGGTCACTGAGCTCTGGGTGTGGATCTGGTATCTGCTTTAACTGTGTCTTTTGTCTCCTGTGCCCTGGTGCTTTCCTATCGGGGGCCTTGCTGACCCCGGAGGGAGGGCTTTTCCTAAGGGTGGCCAGTTTCAGGGGATGGTACCCAGCTCACCCGTATGTGTGCCTCATGTGCAAACCAGCCAGCCCAGAGCCCATGTCCCGGCCATCCCCTCTGTGTGGCTGCGGGGCCTTCAGAGAAAATGAGAAGGGAGTGGAGCGGACAGAGACCCCCAGCGATTAACCCAGGACGGGGGCAGGTGCAGCCCTGCTCGCCCTCTGCCCCAGAAGGGAATGCAGGCGATGCCATCCACGACTGGGGCTTTTGATGAGCAACTCGTATATGCAGTCTTCGTTCCCATTCCTGGCACACGGCTCCTAAACCCTTGGAATTAGTGACAACACGACACTGAAACAGCTCAAGAGATGAGGTGTGGGGAACACTGTGCTATCTCTTACCAGCCCTTTCCACCACACTTGAGTGCAACCTAATGAGATGCCTTTGGAAAGCCCCTAGGATGGGGGCAGGTGGCCAAGGAAGTCCCTCCTGCCTACTTAGGGAGTCAGTCACTGATGGAGTGACTAGTCGGTCTGCAGTGATGTGGCGGCCACAGAAGCCCTAAGGCACAGGGTTAAGGGAGTTTCCAGTTGGTGAACACGTGGAGGTGCCCATGAGGGCGAAGCACACAGGGTACCGAAGCTCCGTGCCTCCCCCCAACCCCGACCTTGCCCTGTGCTTCTCTCCCAGCTGGCGGTTCTAGGTGGTACCCTTCACGATAGATCAGTAAGGGCAAGTAAGCTTTTCCCGAGTTCTCTGAGCCACTCTGTCGAATGAATTAAACCCGAGGGAGGAGTGCCGGTCGGTCAGAACCAAGGGACACCCTGGGCTTGTGGCCGGTGCCTCAGGTCGGGGCGGCGTGGAGGGGCCGAGCCCTGATGCTGTGGTTTCTGACACTAGCTCCGTGTACACGGGTCAGAACTGAGTGCTGGCATCACGGAGGACTGGATGGTGCGGGCAACCCC